TTCTTTGTTTCTTTTGTCAGAATATCTCATGGTTATTTGGCTTTCCTGGGTCATCCATCTGTCACCCATGGTCGCTGTGCTGATTTGTTTGCTATCCGTACTGACACAAAATAATATATATGTAGGGGCAGACTCAGAAGAGCTGGATTCTGATGGTCTGGATGAAGAGGAGGAGTTTGATTTCTCGAATGAGGATGATGAAGACTTAGATGTGGAAGATCAAAGGCAAGACCAGAAGGTGCCACCTAATGAGCTTATAGGCAGTCTCAAGTCATACATGAGTGAGATGGACCATGAACTGGCACATACCAACGTTGGTAAAAGTTTCACCATCCAAAAGAAAGGGGTAAGTATGCCTCGAGTTCTAGTTTGTAGCATAAAGTGTTGAGAGCTTTAGTAGGAAAGAGGAAGTATACTAAAAGTGATCATTCCGAGTAATGTAATCAAAAACTTCTGTCTCCTAATCATGTGCTAACTAATTATTAAAAAAGAAAATGAAAATCACACGCGCAAGAAAAATGTGCTGCAGCTGCACCATGGTGTATTTTTCTGGGGGGGTGGGAAGAAAACTAACTTAGGGAAGCTTTAACTTGCACATTGTTTCCAAGACTTAGTTTCATTTCCCTGTTTTACCCTGTTTCAGTAGTAAGGCAAGCAGCTGCAGCTTGACTGTTTGAGTTCCTGTAGAAGATCACGCCCATAGGAAAGGGAGCCAAGACTCAGTGACCCTCTATGTCCTCCTCTTGGAACTTTATCTGTATAATGGAAAGTGATGATTTTTAACTGGCATGTGCATTTGGTGACTAAATTCCTGTCTGTCAAGACAGTGTGGAACATACTGAACTTTGTTGGCTGCAGAACTGTCTCCTTGTTTTCTTCTCTCTTGTGATTTGTCTTTTTTTTTTTTTTAAACCTGTTTATAAAGTTTGATAAAACTTTGTCTTTATACTTACTATAGGCAAGTTCTGTTAATGCAACTACGTCTCAAAGTGCTGGCCCTGATTCCAGACCTGAAGATACTGAGTTGACACCAGCTGATGTGGATCAGAACCTGGTAGCTAACCTGCTCGAATGCTATAGTGCTCAATCTGGACTGGCAGGACCCACCTCTAACATTTTACAGAGCATGGGAGTATGTTTACCTGAAAATGCAGGTCATATTGGCTCTAACAGTTGAGCAACAATAAAAGGCTGTCTTAATGCAAAAAACATGGCTGATTGAGAAATGAAGCACAGAAAAACTAGCTGTATTTGGAATAAGAGACAAAAGGTTTGAACTTAAAACATCTATGCTTTAGTTATGTGGCTTTAAAGATACAAAGTGAATTTACCTGCAAAAGCCATCTGTTTGGATACTATCTTGGATAGAAATCAGATTTTTGCAGTGCCATCATGTTTTCAGAAAACTGAAAAATGATGTTGTGACTGGAATGAAACTTTTATTACAGAAACCTGTCTTCAGTTTTTTCAGATCAGTGATGCAATTTGCCATATTTCTGAAATGTCCTTTACCCATTACTAGGTGGTTTCAATACCTGTAAAGCAGCTCATGGTCTGAAAATGCCTCTGCCTTCAGGGGAATATGGAGGAATACCATATTATAGGAACAGTGTTCTCTTGTGGATTTTTCAACACTGGTTAAATGTTCAGCAAACACTTAATTGCTTTTCCAAAAGTACAAGTCTTTGTTCTAAGAACTTCTGATAATTACTGTAAGAACCTGTTCTTTATTAATCAGGAGGATTTGAAGAGTAATTGGATTGAACATGTAAATATTTGCTCTAAGTATTTTTTAAAATTTATTTGAATAAAAGCAGAAATACAACTTGATTACTGGAGCTGGGTTGTTTGTTTTGTTTTGTTTTTCTTTGAAAGTATGTGTAACTTCCTCAGTGCAGTATCAGAAGTTCTTGGAGCTAAAACATTTTCATAATTGGGCATTTTTTGAATTTCACTATTGCTGAATGTGGGTATTGTGCCAGCAGTAGCTGTATATGAGCCCAGTCTGAACTGTTTGCTTTGCTAGAAGGCATTCAGCATGTTGCTCCCACATGGAATGAAACATATATTCTAGATATGGAGACATAGCTTTAACAAGATAAATTTGAAATAAAATAAGTAGAAGTTCCTGATTTACAGACAGCAAGAATGCAGTCCTGCGAGATCTGAATCAGTTTCTATGAGTCTTTTCTTTATTCTTCCTTCCCCGCAACATTTAATCAAGTGTCTTAACTGGTAGAAGAGAAACTCATTGGTTGAGTTTTTGGGTATTGTGGGATTTTTCTGTTTTGTTTTTTTAAACACGTTCAAAAAGATAGTATTCAATGATACAAAAGCCTGATTGATCGTGAAGGCATACCTGATTGCTTTTAAAGGACTAATTGTTATCATCATTATAATTAATATTGTATTTATTGATGTTGTTAGTCTTAAGGCTTGGAGTCCATTTAGTTGAAGTATTTGTTTTAATTTTTTTTCATGTGAAGTGTTGGCATTATTTTAACTGACAAAGCAGAATGTAGCAAAAGTTGTTTCTGTGTAGGACACTTGTTGGATGATGAGTCTTGCTGTCTGACTGCCACACCAGCTGAGTGTGACCAACACACAGAAAACTCTTTGAAAGTCACACATTGGCATAGTTACACTGAAATTCATGAGACTTTGACAATGTACAATGAATGCTTGTGTGCTGACTTCTCTACTGATCTGTGCTCACAAGTGGCTTTTTTTTTTTTTCCTAATTTTTGTTTGTTTTTCAAATGACAAATATCTGGTAAAATGCTCCAGTACAGCATCACAAATATGCATGGAATGGAAGTGGTTGAAGGGTATGATGGCTATGCTACCTCCATATTTGTCCTCCCATCACTGTTGTCTAAGTTACTTTGTCAACAGTTTAGGGAAAGTACTGACAAGTTGGACAGGGACTTGAGACGGACAACAAGAATTAAGAAGTCTAAAGATGCTGTTAAAGTTCAAGGCGTTTGGACTGCAGAGAGGTGAGGTGGAATGAGATTGAGTTAGACACTGGAAAATTGGGGCTAACAGGAGTTCTTGCATCTGGCAGACAGTGTTAACCAGCAGCTTGTGGTGGAAAACAGATGTACCTGAACCTTAAAAAGGGTTTATGTTTTTAACAGGGAAGATAATTAACACTGAAGCTACTCCACCCAGTTGCTCGCTCACTCCCTCTCCCACCCCAGTGGGATGGGGAAGAAAATAGGAAGAATGGGAATGAGAAATCTGGGGGGAGACAAAGACAGGGACATCACTTCCCAGTTCCCATTGTGGGCAAGACTTGAAGACTTGATTTGGGGGAAATTAATTCATTTTGTTGTCAGTTAAAACAGAGATTTAACTATGAATACAGGTCATAGGGAAAAAAGCCAAATGTTAAAACAACACCTTTCCTCTTCCCTGTCCCAGGCTCAGCTTCACTCCTTCACGCTAGGCTCCTCTCCCCCATCCCGAGCAGCGCAGGGGTGTTTGGGATGGGGGGTCACAACCAGCACATAACAGGTTTTGTCTGTTCTTCCTCCTTTTCCTCAGTTTTACTCTGCTCTGGCACTGGTCCTCCATGGGCTACAGGGAAGATCTGCTCCACCATGGAGCGCCTCCTCCTCTTTCTCCTACCTTGGTGTTCCCTCCGTTGTTTCTCAATATGTTTGTTCTCTCCACCTTTAACAGTCTGGTGTTTGCTGCCATTTCCTGAAGAAGTTTTCACAGGGGCATGATCAGATTTGCTGATGGGCTTCTCAGTGTCCTGCACTGAGTCTGTTGTGGAGCTGGAAACAGCTCTGTCTGGCGCAGGGCGATCCCTGGCCTCCTCCCACAGAGGCCACCCTTGCAGCCCCTCCGGCCACCAACCCCTTGTCACGTACACCCCCCCACAGTCATCTACTGTGGGAAGTGGAGGTTAAAAAGGCTTATTTAGGTGTTTTTTTCTGTTGAACTATGAACCTTTACTATTATATGTTGGCAATAAAGAAACAACTTCCTGTGACAGAAAGACTAGAGCTGAAAAACCCCCGGTGTCTGATAGGACACACGTCAGTGTTGGAGACATAGTCATCAAGATTGGCCATATAGTGTGTGACCTCACTGAGCTTGCTTTTCCTACATGCTTTGTCAGACTCCATCAGGGCACACCCAGGGTCAATATAAATTGGAGAATGTAGATATTCCTTGATCTAGAAGATAAAAACTGAAGAAAATTGTAAAAACAAGATTAAAAAAAACGAACAAACAACCAAAAAAACACAAACCAAACTATTTAATATGAAAATCTTCCTTTTTTAGGCTACATTCTGGAAATTCCTCTATTTGCAACAGTTGAAGAATTAATAAAAACTATGCACAGAGATGTTGCTTCTTAGAGCACAGGGATGTCTCCACCACAAGCTGTCCTACAGCATCTTGCACCTCTGTTCCACACCAGGCTGGAGGCGTCAACACAACTAACCCACCTCTCCCTCCACTCAGCATCTCCCCTCCTTTACTGACATCTCTCCATCGTTGCTGCCTTTGCTGCTGTAGCAGGTTCCAAGGAGCTCCGTCACCTGCCCTTCATCAAAGGGTGCATTGCTGAGAGTCAGCTGAAGCTTGTCCAAACCTTGGAATGTTATCCCAGGTGCTCTTCCCAATGAGCAACCCTGAACAGACAGAAGGTGTAAAACCAACTCCTGGAGGGAGATACTTTGTCTTTCTATAGAGATCTTGCAGTAACATAGCCTAGCAGAGCAACAGCCTGCCCTTGCTTCCCTTTCTCCAGTGACCATGGTTTTGCTTGGCACAGACACCCTTCCTTGCACCACAGGTCTTCCCCTGACGATAATGCATTTGTGGGGCAGGGATGCTGGGTCAGCACAGGGACAGGGACCATGAAGCAGCTGCCAGGAGGTGACAGCAAGGACAGAACTTGACTTCTAGATCTACTTTCATGCAACAGTAGGGTCTCATCTCTTTTCGAATGTCATTTCTCTGCAGTCACTGTCACGGGAATGGCTCCACCACAAAGGATCCTCTTTCCCCTGGACAAGATTTGCATGGACTGGCAGCAACGACAGAGAGCTGGAGCAGGGCTCTACAACCTGGGCAACACATGTTTCCTCAACTCCGTCCTGCAGTGCCTGACATACACACCCCCTCTGGCCAACTACCTGCTCTCTCGGGAGCACAGCCAGTCGTGTGAGTGCTCTTATGAAATATCGCCTTGGAAATCGGTTGGGCACTACCCAGGGATTCCCAGAATACGGAAGTTGATTTAGGAGAAAAGCAGCCCTTCTTTGTCAGTGCTCAAGTGAGTGTTCTTGGAACACTCAAGCCGAGACGCCGCTTGTCTTTTCTAGGTGTGTTCATCTTCAGAAAGGCACCTCTTCCTAGCCCCCGGTCTTGGTCCTTATTCCTGCAACTCAGACTCTCTTTGCTTATTGCACAGGAAACTTATGTCAGTTTAGTGGCCCTCTGAAGAAAGTTTTCTACGCACTAAAATGTCCTGGGCTTGTTAGGACACTGGCACCTCGGGAGGAGTGGAGACTGTTCTTATAACTTCAGGACCTCCATTGGGTTTCCCATGGCTATGGGTATTTTGCTAACCTGAGGAACTTCCTTCCTTCCCTCCCTCCCTTCCTCCCTCCCTCCCTCTGCAGGTCACCAGCAAGGCTTCTGCATGATGTGCACAATGGAAGCGCATGTTAACAAGGTCATGTATTCCTCAGGCACTGCCGTCCAGCCTTGGGCTGTCGTCAGTGTTCTCACACGTAAGTCATTTCAGGTGCTTTTACTGTTTTTTTTTTTTTCCATTCTTGTAGGAGAGAACTACTAACTTCTTTCTTAGGAATAGGAGAACATTTTGAGCTCGGCATGCAGGAAGATGCCCATGACTTCTTACGCTGTACTGTCGATGCCATGCAGAGAGCTTGTTTGAGCAGGAGCAGCGAGTCAGCGCAAACAAATTACCTTTTCAATGTTCCTGAGGCCCTTGGACGCCTTGATGTAGTGCCATCAGGGAAACCCTATGCCCAGGGCTTTTAGACAAGGCAAAACTCTTGGAGGAGATAACTCTCTGCCTTACCATTTATTTCCAGCTTGGACATCTCTTCTCAGTCAACTACCATTGTCCATCAAATATTTGCGGGCTGTCTGAGATCCAGAGGTACTTTTCCACAGCTATTGCTCTGCACAGAATTGTCTGCGTCCTTCTGTCTGCCTGTGATAAACACCCGATTGTGTGACTGGTGCGATAGGTAGGAAGGATGTAAACCAGCACAGTCACTTGACTTCCTCTACCACTGACAATTTTGATTTGCCTCCCAGTCACATGCTCGAGCTGCAACGTGGTCTCCAATTCCTACGAGGCCTTCCTGGATGTTCCACTAGATATAAAAGTAAGAGTCTTTGTGCTTCAAGACATCCCAAGGTCTCTGTAGCTTTCGAGAATCAACATGGTTGACTTTAAAACGCATACTGCGAACAGAAGAGAGCTTGGTGGTGGGTGGGATGTGGAATGGACGGTGTCCTTCCCAGCAGGCCATGGCACTGGTCTCCCTGTAGGTGCTGGCTTTAAGCTGGACAAGCACGCATTATCCTCTCTGCACCCCTGATAGACTCTCTTTCTTTTGCACTCCCTCAACACCCATCTGGCTCCTAGGCTGATGGGTTGTGTTGTTTCCATTACTGATGACCCTCCCCTCCATCGGGAGCTGAACTGAGTGGCAGAACAGGGACATAGCTCTTGATAGCGCCAAGAATCCCAGGGAAATGAGGGAAATGTCGAGCATAATACCCTCTTTCTGCCTCCTTCTGGACACTGCTTGGGGGTTCACAGTGGCTCTCCTCAGCATCATCTAGCTGGGTTTTTGTGTAAACTCCTAGTGAGTACTTGGGTGAGGGTATTTTCCGCAGCTCACTGCTCTCCTTTCTCACTCCTCCAGGCAGCCTCATCTGTCACCGCAGCTCTGGAGGAATTTGTGACACCCGAGCAGCTGGATGGCGAAAACGGCTTTAAATGTAGCCAGTAAGAAGATTACTAATGACATATTAGTACTAGATCCTGCGTGCGGGTGCATCATGTTGTCCATCATAAGTCACCTTTTCACATAGGTTTGATGCACAATAATGAGACACAGCACTTTTTCATATGGCCTTATGGTACTGAATAGCCGTAAAATAGCATAAGGCTGTGTGAGACAGGAGAGCTTGCCTGGCCTTCGGGGGCAAGGCAGGGTGCATTTCAGCACTGGGCTCTGTGCTTGGTTTCAAGGTGTGACAAGAAGGTTGCTGCCTCCAAGAGGTTTACAGTCCATCGCGCGCCCAGGGTTCTCACACTGTGTCTGAAAAGGTTTGAAGATTTCGCCGGCAGGAAAATCAGCAAGGTGTGTACGCAACTGCAGTGCAACTTTCTCTTCCTGCAGCAGGAGATGTCCCAAAGCAGTGCGCTCATGTTGCATTTTTCATGCTTCCTTCTGGGGAGAGGAGAGTTCCCGTGGGAAGACAAGCGTGTACTCTGCTCCAACAGAGCTGCTTTGGCCAACAACAGATTTCTGCCACACAAGCATGTTGCTTGAGGGAAAATCAAGTGTTCATGAGCCCCAAAGATGTTTTAAGACACTTCTGGCCCCTGCTCTTTGAGGACTTTTTCATGTAGTATTTCAGGTTCGTTTCTGAGTCCACTTGGTCTTTCCGTAGGTTGTGGAGTATCCCGAGTATCTGGATCTTCACCCCTACATGTCGCAGACAAGTGGAGAACCGCTCCTCTATTCCTTATATGCTGTCCTGGTACACAGTGGTGACAGCTGTCAGGAAGGACACTACTACTGCTACACAAAGGTAAAGAGCAACTTCCTTCCAGACAAGCGAAAAATGTGTGCTGGGGAAGACAAATTTGCATGGCAAGGTTACTGGCAGCCAAGGTTTTGGGGAAGAAGGTCTCCTTAGGGGCTGGAGTGGATTGGGTTTGAGGTCCTCTTGCTTCTGTAGTTTTCTGCCTGTGTTTTTCTGGAGAAACCACGCAGTTCATCTCCACATATCGATGCCTTTTTTCACAGGCCAGCAACGGACTGTGGCACAAGATGAACGATACATCTGTGAATTGTTGCGACATCGACACAGTTCTCAGGCAGCAAGCCTACTTACTGTTTTATGCCAGGTAAAAACAAGTCACAAAATGTGTTCGGAATGGGTTTCCGTTTCCTGGCTTTGTTTGTTTTCTTCTCAGCTTCTTTCTGTTTCTCTTTCCATGTTTCTCTCATAGGAGACAATCACTACCTGCGTCATTCAGTGCTGTCAAATCTGACCTAAACCTGGACAGTCCTTGTCTTTCCTTGCCAGGCTTTAGGCTGCTGCCCTGCTGTAAACTGCTACTTGTCTGCTATCTGAAGCTGGCTAATGTAGAGGTCCTGGTTTTGGCTGGAATAGAGTTAATTTTCCTTCTCTGTAGCTAGAATAGTGCTGTGCTTTGGATTCAGGGTGGGGTTCGGTATGAGAAGCATGTTGATAACACACTGATGTTTTCAGTTGTTGCTGAGACATCAAGGACTCTCCAACTCCCCTTGTCCTGCCCATGTGCAGGTGCACAAGAAGCTGGGAGGGAGCATGGCCAGAGCACCGGATCCAAACTGTCTAAGTAAATATTCCCTATGATGTAACGTCATGCCCAGTTGTCTTACTTTGGGCTGAAATAGAGTTAATATTCCTTTTCAGGGACTAGATGAGTGCTGTGTTTTGGATTTAGCTTTGGGTTTGGCATGGGAAAAATGCTGATAGCACACTGATGTTTTCAGCTGCTGCTGAGACTTCAAGGACTCTCCGACTGTCCATGTCCTGCCCGTGCGCAAGGGCACAGGGAGCAGGGAGGGAGCCCGTCCAGAGCACCTGACCCTAACTGGCCAGTGAAATATTCCATATCATGGAACGTCATGCTCACTATATAAAGGAGGGGTGGCTGGGAAGGAGCTCTCTATTTTCCGGGATTGCGATTGTGGGATCTTGGTATCTCGGGGTCGCTGGCCGGGAACGGGCTGGATATTGGTTAGCGGGTGGTGAGCAATTACGCTGTACATTGCCTGTTTATATATTTCTTTTTGTTTTCCCCCATCATCGTTATTGTTTTCATTTTATTGCCATTATTAAACTGTTCTTATCTCAGCCTGCAAGTCTCCCTTCACCCCTCTAATTCCCTCCCCCATTCCCAGGTGGGGAGGGGGAAGGGAGGGTGATTAGCTGCGGTGGTTGGTTGCTGATCAGGCCCAAACCACAACAGTTTTTGGCGCCCAACGTGGGACAGAGGGTTGCGATGTGATAAGGATATTAATTGGGAGAGGTAGCGAGCAAAATACAGACTGAACTCCGTTAGTGGAATGATCTTTGTGATGTCTGTAGTTGTTGTAATTGTGGGGAAGTTTTTTTTCAGGTGTGGTGAAGGGACTATGGGTGGATGTTCTGTATTGTGTCTCAGTATTTTGTCAGTTATGTTTTATTTGGGTGTGGGGAAGTTCCTTCCAGTCTGGTTTTGCCTTCTCTTTGTTCTGATGTTGGTGTGTATACTGTTTTCTGTACTCAATGTTGGATCTCTTAATTCTTAAATACGTGATTCGCAGAGGCGAGGGGTGGAATGTCCTGGGTTGAGTGAGTGGTGGAGTTTTTTGGTGGCAGGGGAGGGGGTTATCGGGGCGGCCCCCTGTGAGAAGCTTCTCAAAGCTCCCCCAGCTCCAAGTCAGCTCCACTTCTGTTTGGGAAATTGAGCCAATCAGCTGCACCTCTGCGACAACGTATTTAAGAAGGGACGTGGTGACGGGCAGTCGGACTTGTGAGGAGGAGTTGCTGCAGCTGCATGAACACCAAGGTCAGTGGAGGAACGGAGGAAGAAAGGAGGGGGGAGGTGTGCCGGAGCAGAGACCCCCCTGTATCCTGTGGTGAGATGGCAGGGCGGCCCCCACCCTGCCACCCATGAAGATCTACGGTGGAGCAGACATTGATTTGTGGCCTGTTGTTCCTGCTCAGCTGATCAAGGTTCTGTGCCCGAAGAAGGCCGGGGTCTCATGGTAAAAGGCAGCCCCGGTGCTGTAATTCAGCGCTGGGAGGATTGCAGCATGCGGGGGAGTCCCACAGCCGGAGCAGCTCGGGAAGGGCTGCAGCCGTGGGAGGGAATCCAGTCAGAGGAAGTTAGTGACCCATGACAGAGCAGTGTGGGGAATGCTGTGGCCCGTGGGAGGAATTCAAGTTGGAGAAAGTTTGTGGAGGACTGTCTCCTGTGAGAGGGGGACCACGATGGAGCAGGAGGAACAAGTTTTGGACACTCCCCTCACCAAACATGAAGGAAGTGGCAGCGCTGACTGCATCCCCCATTCCCTGCCCCTGCGCCGCTGGGGGAGGAGGTAGAGATATCGGGAGCAGAGCTGAGCCCAGGAAGAAGGGAGGGGTGGGGGGAAGGTGTTCTCAAAATGTGGCAATGCTTCTCACTGTCTTACTCTGTTAGGTGTTGTTAGTGTCTGTAATAAATGTATGTTCTTTTTTTTCTTCCCCTAATGAGTCTGCCTTTTGCTCGTGATCATAAAAGGGGAATTTTTTCCCCATCCCAGTCCTATCTCGAACCCCAAGCCTGGCTCTCTGTCCCTTCTCATTGCCGGAGGGGAAGGGAGAGAGAGCTGCTGCATTGTGGTTGGCTGTCAATCAGGCCTAAACCACGACACCAGTATAGAAAGGAGGGGCGGCCAGGAAGAGGGGGGCTCTCCCTTGCTTCCAGGATTGCCTCTGTGGGATCTTGGGATTTTGGGATTGCTGGCCGGGAGCAGGCTGGGTATCAGTCGGTGGGTGGTGAGCAATATCACATTGTGCATTGCCCATTTGTACATTCTGTTATTGTTTTTATTTCATTTTATTACAATTACGAAACTGGTTTTATCTCAACCTATGAGAGTCCCTTTACCCCTTCTATTCCATCCCCCATCCCTGGTGCTGGGGGAGGGTAGGCGAGCAGCTGCATGGTGTTTGGCTGCCGGCCGGGTTCAAGCCACGACAGCAGAGAAGAACACTTAATAGTAGAGGAAAGACGGGGAGGGACTCTTTGTCAGGGAGCGTGGCGATAGGACAAGTGGCAACGGTTTGAATCTAAAAGAGAATAGATTTCAATTAGATGTAAGGAAGAAATTCTTCACTGTGAGAGTGTCCAGAAAAGCTGTGGCTGTCCCCTCCCTGGAAGTGTTCAAAGCCAGGTTGGACGGGGCTTTGAGCAACCTGGTCTAATGGAGGATACCCCTGCCCGTGACAGGGGGTTGGAACTAGGTGATCTTTAAGGTCCCTCCCAACCATTTTATGATTCTATGATTCTCTTAAATGGAGGCTGTTGGTGGTACAAAGACAAGGTCTTGTTTTGACACCAATAGAGTTTCCCATTTGTCATCTTGCTTATGTCTTCTCTCTGTCGTAGAAACGACTCCAAGAAAACATCTGAAGCCCAGAGAAGGTGCTCTGATTTGCAACCTGGAGAAAGGGCTTCCTCACCGGCACCGTCACACGCCCCTTCCTCAGTCAGTGGGTGGCCGGCAGCGAGCAGGTGGGTTCTGTGGGACCACAGGGTCTGCCTCATTGGACCAACGTAACTCTAGAGAGGTGGGTCAGGGCACCACATAGACAGTGAATTTATTTCTGGGATCTCTTTTCCCTCCCACAAGCTGCACCTTTCTTCACAGTTGCAACATTTCTCCCTCCAAAGCATCTCCCACCTCGACCCTTCCCATTTCCCTGCCTTTGTCCCTTCTGCCTTTGCAGCCCTCCAGGAGAGCCTTTGGGAGGCCCTCAGCTGTCCCCACAGTTCTGGTCCTTTCAGGAGGAAAGGGCAGGACCTTTTCACAGCTCTCTCTGCAGGACATGGTGGTGGACAAGGAGGACTTTCCAGAGGACAGTGGCTCCTCCGCACCAGCCAGCACCAGCCAGCTGACCTGGGCAGGTGCCCAGGAGGCATCTGCACGCTGGCCGTGGCACGTCTGGCCACACGGGCTCAGCATGGCCTCCTATGTGGGCTCCTGCTTGCATCGCTTCTTCTGTGGCTGTGTAAGGCTGGTAAGGAGGAAGGCTGAGTGCCTGGTCTGCCGTCAGCCAGGTGATAGTGTGCTGCACTCCGTGCCAGAAGACAGCAAGAAAAGGGAGCACGGATTGAGCACTTCTTCCCGCTGCCAGACAAGCAGCTCCAGGGAGAGGGCCCGCAGCAGATCCCCACAACTGCGGAAGGATCTTCACAGCTGGGTTGTGGACACCACGGACCGTGACCACTCAGCACAGAGAAGGAGGAGGGGGAGAACTATCCTCCAAGTCATGACCACGCTCCCAGGGATGACAGAGCTCCAGGGCCGTCTAATGGCAGCTCCCAGCTGGCTCCCACACACAGGGCTGCATGGGTGAAAACCCTGCCACGGCAGAGCAAACAGAGCAGAGCCCTGCAGCACAGAGATGATCTCCACAGCCAGTTCAAGGAGATCACGAACTACCACTGCTCAGAAAGGACAACGCGTTCTCCACGCCGTGAGCGAGCCCCAAGGGATAATGCAGCTCCAGGACCCTCCAACACCTGGTCCAAGCTGGCTCCTGCACCCAGGGCTGCTCGTGAGCAAACCCTGCCGAGGCAGAGAGAACGGAGCAGATCCCCACGGCGGAGCTGTGATCTGCTCAGCCGGCTTGTGGAAACCACAGACCATGGCCCCTCAGCAGGGAAGAGGAGAAGGTTTCCAGTGCCCCAGAGATCCACGTCAGACAAACACTTGGGTCAGTGCGGTGGTGACAGCGACAGGTTGTCACCCTGCATGAGGACAAACCACAACATCTGACTTCTGCAATGCCAGAGAGGATGAAGAGGAGGAGGAATCCAGGAACCACCAGAACTGCACCCGGCAGGGACCAGGCTGCACAACGGGCACCAGCAGCCCAACCCGTCCCTCCTCCCAGTGCTGCCTCTGCCCAGGAGGAGCTCAGAGAGACTTTCCAGAGACTCAGGCAGCTCTGCCGGCTGGCCCACCCACCCAAGGCTCCCTCGAGGAAGAGTTTTAACCCATGTTCCGCTTTTGGGATCGCCTTACAAAACCAGCACTCACTGGGACCCAAGAGTCAGAAAAGCCACAGCCAGAATAAAAACACTTGTTGGCCTTGCGTGTGTAATTTA